TTGTTTTTCTCTGATGCTGAAGTCATTAAACTTTGACCTGTGCCTATTCCGCTCTTCACAAGAAACGCCTTAGTGGGGAAGATGTGCACGTGTTTTAAAGTGTCCTAGGTACCCGTGCAAATGTGCACTTTGATCGTAAAACCACTCTCAAGACTGCTCTTTTCCTTTTTTCTTCAGTTAGCATTTGTCTTGGTTAAGGTTTCATAGTCTAACATGTCATGCATGTTTTGATTTTAATTTTTCTTTTTTCATTGGAGGGGGGATGTCTGTTATGATCAGATTTAGAATAACCAGAGTACAAAATATGAATAAAGATAATCTTCACTCAAAAGCCTTTTCTGTGCCTCGTATCATGAAGGCCACCCTTTGTTTAAAAGAAATAAAAAGTGTCTTATGAAATGTTTTTATCTGTGGGATGGAAGTGACTTGTAACAATGTTGTGCCATGTGTTTAGTCTGCATGTCACTCGTGAGATGTGTTAAAACTTTGTTTTCACTTACTTGGTGCTCCGCTTTTCAGCAGTTTTGGCCTTTTATCCAAAGGGTACCTTCAGGTCTTCAAGTTGGAAAGATCAAGCGTTCATTTGCAGCGGTTTGTTTTTATTTCTTCTCTTTGATTGTCTCTTGTAATCCATTTTTTTCCTTACTTGCAATAATTCTTCCCACAAGCCTCCCCAGGAAATAAATCAGAGTACCACTGCCATATGATAATATCAGTGTATTTACAGCAACTCTGTAATGGCCTTACAACTGATAGATTAATTTATCTGTCGAAGTCTGCATTTTGATAAATGTCTTTAATAATATTCCAACCTTTGTATGAAGACTTAACTATGATTAATAAAGTGCATTCCTACAGTACAACACTGTCCCTCTCTCTCAGTGAAAATGTGTCGTTCAGATTATTCCGATGTTAACCTTATTTTTTTATTGCCTTGGTCTCTAATGAGTACAACACATCGGATTTCCCCTCATTAGTCATGTGTGCTTATCTCATTTGGGAGAGACGTCAGGCGTCCCACCGAAGCCTTAACAAAGCAGAGAAGACTGGAGCTAAATATAGAAAGAACCGAACCCCTATTTCCGCTCTTAGACAGTAGAGTAACTATTTCTGGAAGCTCTCTGCTGTAGCCTGAGAATTTGTTTTCATACCCAGCTGAAGGACACGTGGGTCTCTCTGACCTTGTTTCTGGCCATCTGGTGGACACTCACTTGTTCTGATGCTCCGGTGCACACAATGAGAGGCTCACAGAGGAATATCATATTGTCATATATTGTAGAAGCTGATGTTTCTCACACAAAACACCAGGGAGGTGTTGAATTAACAATGTCACCTATTATTTATTGTTTAAAAAAAAAAAAAAAAAGGCTGAAATCCCCCCCTGTTCTCCGGATTCTCGTTGACAGCCGGATTGAATGTCACTACGGGACAAACCAGCTTTATGCGTGTTGTGTCAACAGAAGAAAAACTAAAAATAGTGGAGATGGTGAAACAGATGACAATAGACAGACCGAAAAAAATAAAAGGGTTTTAAGCACTTGATGTTTCTGTACAGGACACAAAGAGCCTGGATATTCTCTGCAAGCATGACTGCCTCCGAGGGATGCTGCAGCACATGAATCGCAGTGATCCCTGTGTGTCATTGTGCAGCAATGTGGGAATCGGAGGGAGCAAATGGTCCATGTGTCCCACTGTGAAAATCTCTGCCGGCAGTTACGGTGTCAGTCTGTTGGAATGTGCTGATGTGGGGGAGAGGAAGGAGAGGGTGTGGGTTGGTGGGGTGGACTGCAACGGCTCCTCTGTTCCGCTGGTAGTCCCAGCTGCATGTTTATCTTAGTTCTTCCATCAAATTCACAGTGCTCTGTGCTCAAAGGGCATTTCAGCTGACGTAAAACTTCTGTCGAAAGAAAGCAATTAGGTATATTTGCTCCGCAGATGAGTGCAAATATTCTATCTTTTATGCTTTGTTTACTTCCTCTGTTTAATATTTTCAGTGGAAATATTTTTAATGCACTAAATTGCATGTTCATTTTATTAACAATTGGGTTATATGTCCATATGATACATATTTATGAGCAAAAAGATGTATAAAAATCATATTTTTAAAGTTACTTTTAGTAGACATGCAGTTTTTTTTAAGATGTTATAACTCTCAGGTCACCATGACATGTATTTAAACTTGAAGCAGAAGATTATAACTCGATCTCATGGTGTTCCCTCTAAAAAGCACAAAAGACAAGGGCAATATTCAGAATTATTCATACTTTGCTTGGATTTAGCCTGATGGCAGTTGTAAAGAATTTACTCCATTGTTGAGATTTCTGCCCTTAACCTGGGATCAGTTTTGTATTTCAACAGTAACGTGCACTTTTTGTTTTATTACTTATCTTTATGAATATCAGGAAACAACAGAAAATTGCATTCCATCTTGTTCTGTGGTCAAAAATCTACCAGTAGTGTGCTTATGTCCTCAAACAGCTAACAGTTACCATTCGTTCAAGTTTTATGTTGAAATTTGCAGCCGGAAGATAGACATGTCCTCCTTCATAACCAAGGTCCATGAAATAGGACAATCTATTACAGATGTCTTCAGAGTAACATTAACAGTTTGAGGATAGCTCGGTGAGTTTAGGTAAACATTAGTTTTGACTAGTATAAGGTGTTGTCCTTACTTTGAAGAATTCAAATACCTCTGTTCAGCAGGAATCTTGACAATGTTGACATCCATTTTCCATGCCACTTGTTCCCAACGGGGTCGTTGGCTGGAGCCTAGCCCAGCTGTCAAAGGGAGACAGGTGGGGGTACACCCTGGATAGGTTGCTAGTCCGCTGCAGGGCTGCACAGATACAAGCAACCACTCCTACGGGCAATTTGAAGTGTCACAGGTGACAAGGACAAAGATTAATCAAAACCCTTTGCACCAACTGTTTATATATTTCGTATTCTGTATGTTCCGTTTGTATGAGATTTAGTAACATAATCGTGATAAAGCCAAAGATTCCAGACTCAAGCTGTCAGATTGCTTACTGTTTAGAATCAGAAAACCACTGGTGTGATTTACACTCAAACATTTACCGGGTACAACTACGAGTTGTGCAGTTTAATCCAACATCCCCGCCGCAACATGTCATTTGGAGGCAGTACACTGAGCTTGGATGTCTTAGTGAAAGATGTTTTAACAGTTACTCTGCCACCATTCATTTGTCATAATGTTTGGAAAACCTTCCCGTAGGAAATAACCTTATTCGATAGCCTAAAACCCCCCAAATGACCCCAATGTGAAGTAACTAGTAAGACATTAGTTAATATTCACTGAAAGCTGACTGGTTTTTGCTCTTTTCAATAATGTTATCATCAGATGTTTACCTTGTCCTTCCCAATCTTAGCATTTTGGTGATTTCTGTAAATTCTTAATCTTACAATGTCTCCAGTCACACAATAAGCTCCCTGAGTTGCACCATGTTAAACAACTCTGAGTAGAACATACTATATTGTACAAAAACCTGACTGTACAAGCACTTCTTTTTTTTTTTTTAGGAAGGTAGGTTATTTAACTGGAAAGCAAAAAAGAAAAAGAAGAAAAAAGCCTTTCAGGCACTTGCATCAGTCTTGTATGGATCCTTTCTAAAAATAACCTTTTCCCTTCCATCACAACAATGCCACATTACATCAGTCAGTGTTACACCCAGCAGTCACATGACAGAAAACCTTTCTAACAGTTTCAGCTGATACCACGGGGCACTGGGTTGTACGTATGTCTGTGATCCTTTAGCATGAATAAATTCCACCTCTGATTCATGTGAGCAGAGCAGTCCTGCTGTTATCACACTGAATGCCCAATAGAGCTGACTGTTCGAAATACTTTAGATATTTCAGATGGAAACATTCAGTCCAAGCATTTAGTGATTATCTTGTTGCTTTTAATTGCATGTACAGTATTGTGCGTTTGAGACTTTTGTGTAAGAAAACCAGCGTCATGGCTAGGGAATGAGTCACTGAACCAGATTTTTGGCAGATACTCTCAAATATCTCATACAGTAACCTCTTTGGGGTTTTTAAGTCTGCAGCTGTAGCAAAATAGCACGGACTGCAGGGAAACCTGACAACGCGTTTCAAGAGACAACGTAAAATAGTAACAGATTCAGGAACAAAACCCCCCCCAAAACCCATATTCGTTTTGATAGCTTAGCAGGATCCAAAATATGATTCCTCACATGATTTCTCTCACATGTAAAAGCTGAGCAGGGTTGCGAAATACAAGGACGTCCCTCTGACCCCGTGTTCTCATGATCATGACTCAACACTTTCAGAGGGGGTTGCCTTCCTTACGGCAGCCGAGTGACATCACTGACATTCAGCTCCTGGAAAATCACCTGCTCCTGCGAGCGTGGATCATATTTGCAAAAGGAGCGTAGCAGAGGAGTGGTTCGAGAGGGTTACAACACATCGCATGCGAAGAATCCATAACGGGTGTTCAAAGTATGCTCACTTATCTAGACTCTGGCATCCAAGACCACAAAATATGCTCCAAAGGGTAAAAAAGAGTGTTATATGAAATGAAATATACAGCTGTTATTAAAATTAGGATTCAAACGCATTCTGGTTAATCAGGACACATTCGTTCCTAAACTTTACAGTCTGTGTGCAGTTTCCTTTTGTGGGTAGTCCATGAAAAAAAGCAAAAGAAAGGTTCCAACAAACGGCAGAGTGTTGGTGAAAAGCAGAGCTGTTTTGGATGAATGCACACGGTCCTGCTGACCAAGGCAGAAGCCAGTGCAGGGAGAGTGGCGTGGATTATTGTTCTCTTTGGCTCAGGGATGGCACTGAGGCCACAGTGGCCAACATGACCCCCGTGATCGGCATGTGACACCCCTTTTTTACTCCTGCAGCTGCTTCTACAGGTCAGCATTCAGTTCGGCCTTGCCCAGTTTTTTGGCCGATGGAAAAGCGAAGCAGAAGGAAAAGCCAAACACAGAAAGTTCTTTTTCCAAAAAAATAGTTTTATTGACAGCAATACACGTGTTTTGTATTCAGATCTTGCAAATGGTCAGGTAAAAAAAAAAAATTAACATAAATACACTTAAATATAATTAGAAATAACTTAAAAATTTGTAACAAAGGAACTATTTCACTTCCAAAAAAAAAAAAAAGGAAAAAAAAGTTTATGAAACACTAAACGCACAAAGTGTCTTCACTGGATGTGTAGCCCTTCCCTTTTAAGTTGTGACAACAGCAACGTCAACATGAACAACTTTAATCAAATAAATGTAACCGCAATAGGTCCAGTGTTTCAACAAGTGCTTTGTTTCTGCAGAGAGAGGCCGGGGCCTTGGTCCACTCAGCAGCTCCGTGCTTTGGCTTCTCCCCACTTTTCAGACTCTCAATAGAGGGCTTTAACCAAACAATTACATGATATAATCCTTCTGTACAGTGTCGAACTTGACATTAAAAAAAAGCACCTGGGCTTTTTTCCAACTCATGACGCTACAAGCCTCTCACCATCTCTTCTCGGTTGCAAAAGCTGACAGACACAACTCCAAACAGTCCTTTCGAAAGTAGATATTTCAACCCTCTGCTTTTTAGTTTACTTTTAAATACATCCCATGCTGACAGCAGGATTTTCTTCTTGCTTTTTTTTTGTCTTTCCCCCGCAGCAGTACTTCAGAATTCGATCTCTGAAAGGTAATATGCGTCCATCAGGGTTCACACAACTTCTCCTATGTAGATTAAATTCCTTTCTGGACAGGTTTACGCAGCTAGAAGTTCATCGCTCAGGCAGATTAATGACAGGCACCCACTGGTCCATACAGCGGCTCTCTCTGCAGAATCGGTTGAGTTTGCTTAAAGCAGGGTCCTTCCATGATGTAGAATGTGGGCTCTGAAAACAGCGAGACAAATATATAATTAATTATCCAGTCACAAATGCACGTGCACATACACACAAAATATACTTCAGGCAGTCCCTGTGCGTGTGAAAAGAATTTTCTACAGAAATTCTTTTGCAGCCCTTTTTGGGTGGAGTCATGCATGTTTATCAAATGCTCAAGAACAAGTTTGGGCATGCTCTCTTTTCAATTAGTTTCACTATCAGGAGCATGCCAAATTGTCTTGTAGTACTGTAAACACACCAAAAAACAAACACGAAAGCTGTTGTAAAACACAGAGAAACCGAAGGGTAATCTTACTTACAGTGACAAGGACACAGTGTAGGTCCATTGTTTCACCCCCACTCTGTTTTCCACCTCCTCCTCCTCCACCCAGTATTTCTGCGAGGCGCCTGGTGTTGTTAACTCTCAGGATGTTGATGTCATTCTCGCAGCAGAAAGCCTGGATGAGGGTAAAGTGGATCTGCAGGGCCACATCTTTCCCGTCCTCCTCATCAGTAGCCAGGATGCACAAAACCACATTATCGGGGTCTCTGTGGAAAGTAAGGGGGAAAACACAGATGCTGTTAGTCCACTCGTGTGCACCTGCAATATCGTGCTAAACACGCAAGTATGTTCAACAAACGGCCATAAAGGTGTCAGGGTCGGACGGGTTATGACAGCGCCTTGTACTTACACATTGAGCGATTTGGCAGCCTCGTAGACACCGACTGTAATACAGCCCTGCGGCAAAGCGGAGGTCAGGACTTCTTCCAAAGCTTTTGCCACTGTATCCATTCTGAAAAAAAGAAAAAGAAAAAGAAAACAACGTTAACTTCGTCGCAACTGTGTCCGTGTCAACCCGTATGCTCGCCGGACTTCTTGCTAACCACCGGCGTCACGTAAGTGGACGTTTGACAGATGTGTACGAGGTATTTTCGCTCCATAAAAATAAAAAAACACAGTTATATTTTTACATGACCACTATATTCGACACTTCAAATCACTTCGAACCGTACAGGAAAGTTAATGCCGTCCCCCACAAAGCGGTTATTTGAAGTTTGCCTAAAGTTACGTTGCAGAGCAATGTAAGCTAGTTCCCGAAGTTGTCTCGCGACCGTCTGAATTCACAGTTTTACTGTCGAATTCGACGTTGAAAACAAAGCAGTTAAGAAAAATCCTCTTTCGTGCATATAATTTGTGCTGCACAAAAAAAAGTAACACGATGCCACCCGCAATATCAAACATGCATCAAACCACGTAGAAATAATCCGTATCATTTACCTTTCCTGAGAGTAATCCCCATTTAGTTCCTCAAATGTCATGTTGTACATTAAATCCAAATCACCCCTTGTGCAAAAACTTTAAAAAAAACAGAGTGCACTGTAAAGAGTTATCCTGGTATATTCTCGACTTGACACACTTCTCTTTATCTCCACTCAACAGTGCTGCAACTGAAAGATAAATCTGGCAACTTCACATTAAAACAGTCTGGGACAATACCCGGTCAGGAGAACATTTGCATAGCTGCGATCATTGGCCGTATGCAAATCGACCCGGGGGTGGGATTGGGCAAACGGCTACAGGCGTGTCCGGCTCGAGTGCAGTTACCACCGTGGCAACAGCTGTCTGCCAGTCGCACGAAAGCCCTTTCAGTTTTTTGCCTACCATATTTTTACTATTGGCTTGCAAAGACAACGTGCACACACCTGTACCGCGAACTTTTTATAAATGTCTATGCAGAGCCGCCATACTTTCACACTAACTACATCCTATTTGATTGTTTCTGGAAAAATTCACCGATAAAAATAAAAAAACACATTATAGGCTACGTTTTTTAATACATCAGACTAAATGAAGCTATCTTTATTTTCTCAGATTACTTGACTGAATAAAACAAATCGATGATGCGTGGGGCGACTTACCCCTCGCTGCAGGACAGGACAGGGAAGTCTTCAAAGCAGCTGCATGGCAACGGGACGCTTCCTTGGGAATCTGCCCTCTGATTGGATAGCTTGTGGAGCGTGCCTATACCTCCTGAAACCGCGCGCGAGATCCAAGGAACTGGCGCGAGAGAGTCAAGAAAGTGAATCTGAGCTTGAACACTTTAACTGTTAGTGACAAATTACGACTATCTATCTATCTATCTATCTATCTATCTATCTATCTATCTATCTA